TATATGTTATCTATTTTCAAAAGTTATATGCATAATCTTCTAATATAATAATGGTGTAGGATATTCTAACTTATATGTTGAATATTCTAATAGAATAATGCTTAATTAAATTTAGGCTTGTTTAAAACTCTTTGATATGTTATTATTCTAGTAATTCTAAATATTCAATATTTAATATTATGTTGTTAAGATGTAATATTCTGAAATTGTGTGCAATATTCTGAAGTAATGTGAAATATTCTGAAATTAGGTGTCATATTATAATATTAGACATTATGATTTTGTTGGAAACAACTTGCTTCAAACTTTTTGTTAAATAATATGTAATACATGATTTTATACATTTTGCTTTTCGTTCGAAACAATTTGTTTTGAACCTCTTTGTAAAGTATTGTGATAGCACTTGATTAATAATGAGGTAATGTAAAATATTCTAAAATTATGTGTCATATTCTAAAATTGTGTGTCATATTCTGATTTTAGAATATGTAATATGATAGAATTAAGAGTTAATGTTACACGAATGTTGTTAGTTTAATTATTAATGTGTTGTTTATAAAGGCATATTTTTCATAATATTTTTGAATCTTGAGTATGTATATTAATTTTGTTTATATACATGAAGTGATTAAATGGAAAAATCAAAAGCCAAAAGTCGATGAAACTAAAACAAAGAATCTCAATAATTAGAAAACCATTGATATTTTGAAAACAAAATTTCAACATAGTATCATAAATCTTCATCATATGGTTACCTTGTTAGACAAAGGGATGAATATGAATCTCAAAAACTCTTCTCAAGTTATAGTTAGATACCAATGCACTAACAACCATAAAAAGTCTATTACATGTTTGTGACATATAAAATCTATTACATATCCATGAATCTCGATACTTATAGTTGAAAAAGTCTAGCTTCAAACATTCAAGTTCCTTTTAACTTCTGGTATCCAAAAGAAATAACCATCAGGTCAAATGATTTGTTTGCAAGAGTCATATTGTGCTGCAACCTTGTCACTTACAACTACAAAAAACAATATACCACCACATTAACATATAATAAAAATAATGTGCATTCATATGACTTTAATCATAAATGTATGTTCAATATTCTATAAAAAAATATACGGTAACATGAACTAATCAGCAACACGATGTTGATAATTGGAATTAATAAATCTATGATCAATATTCTATAAGAATAACTGAATAATTGATATTGGTAACAAAATTACCTTGGGTTTCCGATTGATTTTCCTCATGATGGAGAATATCTGAATCACCAATACTTAACATAAAACACTAAACATAGTATTGTTCTAATTATGAAGATATGTAGTGCTATATATATTTAAACAAATTTATGCTAAAAAAACATCTTAAATCTTTTTTTGTTTGAAATAAAAAAACCATTTCATTGTATTAAAGAGTTGGTTTCTATAGAAAACCAGATAAAAGAAAAATGTATAACATTAAACACAGTAACGATGTCAATTATTATTGAAACAGAGTCATAAATTCTACTTCGTGGTGTAATGTTCTAGTTTGTAGCATAATATTCTAGTTATGGTTAATACTATAAGATATATTTAACATATGGTATAATGTCAACATTATGGTTCAGTCAGGTTTTAATGAATAGAGTAAAAAATTACATGACAAGGAGGATTATGACTAACCTGAACCTGTTCTACTTCATGCAAAACTAGTCAATGCATCTTTTACTTAACATGCAACTGACAAGGAGGACTATGACTAACCTGAACCTTTCACTAAGATATTACATGTTCTTTAATCTCAACATATGTCGTAAGAACTTCTAATTTGAAACATTCAAGTTCCTTTCAAGCTAAGCTTCATTAACTAAATTTCTCTGCAACAAAAATGAATGAACATTTCAGAATAGACATGGATTAAAATAAATACTATGTTTTTACAACTGATTCAAACTTCAGATGGATTAAGATTTACAAAATTATATTCATAACATTTCAATGATAGAATTAAGTTAGTCTAATCAGAATAATATACACTAGTAGAGAATCACATCATGTAATAACATATCACTGATGGTGTGTATCCAATGGATATAATCAGAACAATATACATTCTTATGAAATTAATCATAAAATAACTCATTGTTAACATATACTAGCTTTAGAAGAACAATAATTTATTTAATAGCATCTAATATTTTTTTAGTACAACCCATTTCCTACAGGTTAACAAGAGCATATTGAAAAAAAGTGTGGTAAAATACATCTCTAACCATCTGTGTTTAAAGAAAACGATATACTTTAACAAAAACTAAGGTAAATTTAATAAGATTAGTCAATATTGAATTATTTTACTCCAATCCTAACTCATATTTTGAAAGTATACTCATTCTTAAATAAGAGTTTATTTATGGGAAGGAGGGGGTGATACATCAGAATCTTTATTCATTCAGGACTTTCATCAAACAGGTAGAATGCATATATAGTTTAAGAGAATTTTCTCAAGAACAATAATTGATTTCAATCAATCAATATGATGTTTGATTGCTGAAATCACAAATCACACATATATGAATTGGAGAAATCACTAGTAGCTTGATGATTCAATCAGTTCATGTTACAAGGTTAACAATTGAACATGTTAGATGCAAGTAACAATGAAAGCGATGAAAATACAAGGAAGAAAACTCAAACCTTGATCAATTGATGAAATCGTGATGTAGAATACAAATCACAGTTTGAAAGATCGTTAGCAATTGTTGAAGATGAAGATAAACATAAATCAACTGAACACTTGAACCTCTATCTTGGATGAAATCGGTCATCATAGAGCCAAAATCAGTAACAATCTTGTAATTAATTGTTGGTCTCGATAGATGAACATAAACCTCAATCACTCAGATTATCAATTGCAGATGCAGAAGAATGAAGAACATGAACTCGTGAAACTCAGAAATCGCGAGTTTAAAAGCTATTATTTAGCATTGTTTAATCAATGTCCAACTCAAACTAATTATCGGTTGAAAGAATAGAAGATTTAAGGAGATAGAAGATCGATCAGATTGAATTGAAGAACAAGGAATGTTGATCCAGCGAATATCTTGGTAGAAGAATCAAAGCAGATGATTTCTTGATGACGTGAAGATAACACTAACATTATATCAGATCTGATCATATTAAATTTTACCTAGAGACTAATCTACCCCTCATTAACTAATCAATTAGATTAATTAGGGTTAATCACGTTTTTTTATTAGCCACAATATCCGTTTTGATCAAAGGCCAAGATTTGGTCCCCATGTCTCACAAAATATAGGTGGTCTCAAATGAACCTCTACATATATATATATATATATATATATATATATATATATATATAAGTGTCGGTGTATGTTTCCACTGATATTTTCAATCTTTCTAATCCTTCTAGTTTGTAAATTGATATTTTCCACCCATATACTTTGTAAACTGTTATTTTTTTTACTTTCTTTACTTTGGACTATCTAAAATGTTACTTTCACCTCAATACTTTATAAAATGTCATTTTTACCTCGTTTAAACTTTCTAAAATATCACTTTCACCCACTATTTTATAAACTTTTTTATTTACTCGCATGTGTGATTATAAAACAACTTATAAAAACTTCTTAAATAAGTCCATAACTAAGGGGTTGTTTGGGATTGCTTATTTAAAACACCTTATGCTTTTTAATATAAGTGTTTATTAGCTTATCTGGTGTCAAAACAGAGTTTTACAAAAAGTGTTTGGTTTAGTTTATCCGATAACAAAAACGTAATAAGTTAATAAATTAATTTATAGTGTTTGACAACTAGTGCTTACGTGTGTAATTTGGAAATAACTTATCTAAAACTCATTAAATAAGTTAATAAGTAATGAGTAATTAACTTATAAGAAAGTCCTTATTTAAGTCAATAAGTGCTTATTAATTATTTTTATCCAAACACTCAAAACTCATTTTTCCCGATGCTGAACTGCAATAAGTCAATAAGCACCTTAAATAAACAATCTCAAACACCGTGAATACCAAAGGGCTTCTAGCCCAGTGGTATCAGGTGGTGCCCTCCCTCTTTGAGGTCGAGGGTTCAAGTCCCGTCGTGGACATAGATGGAGTTAGGTGTTACTAGTTTAGGAGTAGATTAGATTTGCCAATTAAAAAAAAACACCCTAAGAAGTGACTTATCAAAAACTTTTTAAGTCAATAAATGAGTCAACACTAAAAAATCATTTTACCGGTAGCAAACCGAACTAAATAAATAAAAACCTTAGATAAACAATCACAAACCCCCCTAAAAAAAACAAATTTGTTACTAAAAAACTTGAATAAAAAGATCATTTCATAGGACTCGCTAGAAAGTAAAAATGCTGATCCATTCAAACAAAGCTGATCCATTCAAACAAATTAACAAAAATTAGTTCGACACGTGCAACAAATTAACCGTTTTAAACTGAAAAATCTAAACAAAAAATAAATTAAACAATGCAAAAACGCTATTATAAAATTCTTAAAAAAACAAACAAACAAACGTTTAAGTTTTATAGAGCATATAATAATTTATGAAAGATAACTTGTCATGTTTAAGACTTGTACGTTACAAGCAGACAAGGCGTGCAGTGGAGGAGGACGACGGACGGAAGGATCTAGTAAACGCTGTTTGACCAAATTTTCTTCTTCTGGCTTACATTAACGACAAACCACGGTAGAGAAGAATGGTAGTATCGTAATTAAATCAATATTTTTGGGCATTTATATGTCTTAATGGTCAGATCTTTAATTTAATGTTCGGCGGCGTCGTTTTTGTTGTTGTGTTTCATCTTCCCCTTCCCCTCTTCATTAATTCGATAAGGTCCCTTGCTATATATATAAGGCCTCAGTTTTTTCTTCACACAGGAAAATTCAGAATCTATACATACAAATTCCTGTATCTATACGTAAATATATATATATATATATATATATATATATATATATTATAAATCTATATATACACGATATACCCATCTGTATATATATACAGACACATATCTGTTCTTTTTAGAGAGAGAAAGAGAGAAGGGAATGAGAACAAGGCGTGGGATTTCTTATCCCAAGGTGAATAACATATGTTGTGAGAAGAGAAGAAGAGATGGCAATTTTCCGGGTGAGAAGATGATACAGAGCCGGAAAAGGTTCAAGTCGTCGTCGGGGACACCGGTGGTGACTCTTTCCGGCCAGTGTGATTTTCTTGATACGCTTCCAGACGACATCGTTTTGTTTATACTTGCAAAGCTTGGTGCCACCGCCGGTTGTCCCTCCGATTTTGTGAGCGTTTTATCAACGTAAGGATCCGGATTTGGGATTTTGTAACTTTTTCTACAGTTTCCATTTTTATGTCTGAAAAAGGATCCGATTATTACGACAATTTTGTTAATTTGTTACTGATTTTGTTTGTGTTTGTTGAACAGATGCAAAAGGTTAAACGCGTTAGGTGTTCACTCTCTTGTGTTATCAAAAGCATCTCCGAAAGCGTTCGCTTTTAAATCTGAAAACTGGTCGGAATCTGCTCACCGGTTTCTTAAACAGTGCTCAGATGCCGGAAATGTTGAAGCTTGTTACACACTTGGCATGGTTAGTTTAATTTTTATGGTTTATACGTGTTGATTGACATTCTATTTGGGAGCATTAATTAAACTGACATGAATTTTATTTTGTTTGACACAGATTCGGTTTTACTGTTTGCAAAATCGAGGAAGCGGAGCGTCTCTAATGGCTAAGGCGGCGATTAATTCTCACGCTCCGGCGTTATACGCACTTGCTGTGATTCAGTTCAACGGTAGCGGAGGTTCAAAAACTGACAAGGACTTACGCGCCGGTGTAGCTCTTTGCGCCCGTGCGGCGTTTCTTGGCCACATCGACGCGCTCCGGGAACTCGGACATTGTCTCCAAGAGGGTTACGGCGTACGTCAGAACATTGTCGAAGGCCGGCGGTTTTTGGTTCAAGCCAACGCCCGTGAACTTGCAGCAGTACTTTCAACAACTCCATCGGCGTTGATGTCCGGTAACTGGCTGACATGGAACCCGCTACCTCACCTCCGCCATGGAAACGTCGTGGGTCCTGGGTGTCCTTTACTTAGCGATTTCGGATGTAACGTGCCTGCACCGGAACCTCATCCATCCAACCGATTTCTTACAGATTGGTTTTCCGATAAGGTACTTGCTCCGGGACTTCGTTTATGCTCTCATGCCGGTTGTGGTCGGCCGGAGACTAGAAAACATGAGTTCCGGCGATGTTCAGTCTGCGGAGCTGTTAACTACTGTTCTCGAGCGTGTCAAGCACTCGACTGGAGGATGCGTCACAAGATGGAGTGTAGACAGGCTGAAAGGTGGGTCAATGACGGCGACGGTGAAGACAACGGCAATGTTAACGACGGTGATGGAATGGTTGTCGAGAGTTGAAACGTTCGCCGGAGATACTGAACTTGACGGTAACGATAACGGTACCGGTGATTATAACGGCAGTTGAAGCAAAGTTTTGTTGGGGATAGTTTTGGAATTTCAAAAATATGCTGTCTTTTGACGTTTGCCGGAATCTCGACGTTAGTAAGAGAAGTTCAGAGAAGTTTGAAGTTAGTTCTCCTTTTTTTTTTTTCTTTTTTTTTCTAAGGTTAGCAATTTTTGTACAATATATTTTACCTATATTTTAATATAGCTGCCTTTTTTAATTATAAATCTAAAAATGAAAATACTTATTCAAATTTACGTTTATAATCCCTTTAATAAAAAAAAGTGAAATTGTTTCGTAATTTTCATTTTTTTTTGTCTAAAACTAAAAAAAAACGAAGATGATATTGGATTTAAAAAGAAATTATTTGTGGTTTTATTAAAATTGGGTCAATGTATTATTTATGTAATGAAGTTTTTGTTTCTTTCTCCAGATAATTGCAACTAAGTATAGTTTTTATTATTTTAAAACATTCTTTATAAATTTGGTTACATATTTTTCTTTAAAGAAACAAAAGAATGTCATGTCTTTTTAGGCCAGAGAGTATACATTTGTCGCACCTCTTCAACATGTTCTTATTTGGAAGGGATGAGTTGCCACAACTTTAATAAATTAAAATTTAACATTTTTTTAAATATTTTTTAATTGTTAGAAATTAAAATAATATTAATAATAAATAAATAAGTCTTACAACCCTACAAACTTCAAAACATAAACAAAAAACATACAAACATAAATACTTTTTTCACTTAAAAAAAAATAAAAACCTCATAGCTACTATAATATGAATAACAATTTCATCCGAAAATTGGTCTCCTATATTATCGACCGGTTCTACGTTAAGATCAATATCAATGTAGTCAACGATCCAAATAATCGTGCATGAGGCATTTGTTTGAAAAGTCATCGAAAAAATAGCCTTGAAAAATCATGTGTTCATCAAAATAATCGTGCATGGGGCATTCGTTTTCTTTGCCTCATATTTTCGATATTGGTCATGTACAGATGTCACGACGTGGTGGCATGTTTGCCACAACATGATGACCGGTCTGGTTACGACTGCTTTGTCGTGAAGCTACCACGACGTGGGTAATGGGTGACCATGATGTGGAGGTCAGTGGACGTTGACTTTGACCGTTGTCTTTTTTTACCTAGGTTACTTTTGTCAGATTGATAGTTTTAGAGTGTAGACTAATGTTTGACCTTGAGTGTTTCGATAGGTGCGTTGTAGCATCGGTTTCACGACTTTACGAGTTGTGATTGTTTTGACTTCGAGTGGAAGGTGACTTTTCTCACTATACTATGTAGGATGCTAGTTATCTTTTTGACTTGCATTTATGTTGGTGGGGCCTATTACATATGATGAGCGGGGAACGATATGTGAGTTGGGAGGGTCTGTTATGGTAATTGGGCGGGGTCCGTACGATTATGTGGGTTTTTAGGGAACTCACTAAGCTTGTTGCTTACGGTTTTATCTTTAAATGTTTCAGGTAGTTCTGGTTCCAATGGAAATGGTTCGACTTGATCGCACTGCATCAACTGAAGTTTTATTTCGCACTACCTTTTTATGACTCACTGTGATGTTTGATAATACATTACACTTTGATTGTCTTTTGGAACAAATGAATGAATGTGTTGGGTTGTTTAAAAATAAAATTTTTACTTTGTTTGTTTGGGACGTTACACTACCGAGTTGCGCTATCTGAGGATGAGGCACGGTGTACACCGAGTCTACCTACGTGATGTCGAGCTCGATGCCGAGTCCACTCCCTACAACCTAATTATCAAACTTAACTTTTAGATTTTATGTTTACCCTTCATAAATTTTAAAATATTATATCTGTCCAAAAAAAATTATAATATTTTTAATAGCCTTATAATCATTTTTTATATCTTAGACTTATTATACTTAGAAAAATGTCCATATTCTCCTTTGATTTAAACTTATGGAACATATATTATTAAATTGTTGGGATGTCTTCTAGACAAACATATTGCAGCATCTTCAACCATCTTTTTGTAATGTATGCATTGATTGCTCAGTTTTGTTATTGATTTTTGTCATGTTGTAGATGAATTTTTTTAGACATAACCCTTGATATTATGATGTTTAAGAATTGAATATATGATATTTTGGTATTTAAGAATGTCATATGATGTTTTGATGATTAAAAATGACATGATATGTTAGACGCATTTTATGCACCTTTTTAGCATGTTTAGTATTTGTCTCTTGCATTGCATTATACCGATATACCACATATTTTATTTGCATATGAGACATTTTTTTGGTGGTTTTCATTTCCACACTTTTGGTGTCACTGGAGGTTGTTTTGGAGGTTGGAGATGATCGAAGATTCTTTTCCCTTTCATTATCATCCATGCTAATGTTATCTAATCATCTGGTGAATACTATCACATGATGCTAAAATTAGACAGTTTTTCGATCATATGATTCCCCCTATTACGGTTAGACTCAGACGAGAGCTGCGCAATAGAGCCGAATCACACTTTCTAAAACTATTCAATTATGGAATCATATAACCTATGCACCCATCATAAAATTAATAACATGCGTTTTCTTAGATTTATATTTTAACGTGTTTTTATCTAATGTTTATAAAACTATATCATTATCTAGTTTGCTCGTAAGTTATAAGGAGAGACTTACCAATTCTTAGCGGTGGATTTTGGTTATTGTCACTCGGGTCGATGAAAAACGCTATGCCTTGAGAATTATTCCTTCGATTTGCTAATCTTGAGGATTCTTTTTTGAAGTGGACCACTTCCCCACATTCATAACAATTACGGTTCCTTCCAATACCAATTCCTTGGGTAATGGCGAGGGGTCGGACTCCTACAAGACTTATATGTGTGACCCTTCTTACTGAATTTATTACAAATTAGCTCTCTACATGCACCCATGTGATGTTAGTTACACTTATTGCATAACGGAAGATATCCTGCATACTGCCTTAAAGGATTGGGTGACAAAATGGTTGCTACATAGACTTTCCCTAAGTCTTGCTTCTTCCATGCTACCTGCTCTGAATCTTTATCAGGATTTCTCTTGCTATTTTCTGATCCTGGTAGATCAGTATTTAAAACCATGGTGCCATAGAGGATTACCTGATTGGTCAGGGTAAAGGCCTGTCTCTTAGCACTATCATAAGTTGTTGCCCTGGAAGTCGTAACCAATCCTTGGATAGGCTGTATAAAACCCCATATGTACATTTCTACTTTCTTGTATTATGGGGTGACAAAACTAGGATAGAAGATGGTGAGATCATTGAAGTGACTGGTATATGCTGCAATGTCTGTCTCTTGCATGGTAAGATTCCAAAGCTCTTGTTCTAGCTTTTGCATCTCTTCCGTGGGGCGGTACTATTTCAATTAGTAGCTGCTTCAACTTATCCCAGGAGATGGCATTAGTTGTACTAATTCCCATGGTTTTGACGTGGCCGTTCGACCATGACAATGTTGTGTCCTCGAAGATATACCTAAATTTACAATTTTTAGCACAAAATCTGATCTCGAATATTGACTCCATTTTCTCGATCCAACAAGTCAGTCCTAGTACTCCTTCATTTCCTAAGAAGGGTCTGGGCTTGCAGTTTCTGAATTCCTTATAAATACATGCTCTTATGTTACTCCTATTACCACCCTGTGTACTATCTCCTATGGTTCCTCTACCTTTTCCGGATTCGACATTCCTATTAGCTAGGGCTTCAGCGACTCGTTGGGTGATCAACGCCTCGATGGCTACTGCGTCAATGTTTGGTTGTACCCTGGGGGTTCCTTCTGGTGACTCTTATTTGAGGCATGTTTGGACCCTATTATAGTTAGCGAAAATAAAGGGGAGTGTTAGTCGACGACGCCTTTTTATAGATGCGAGTAGTAACTACTAAGCGCACGAGTTAATGTAAAAAAATCACAAAATTTTTTATGTTAGGAGGGGAAAGCTTCGACATACTAAAACGCTATATCTAGGGGGATAGTGACGATACTGCTTTCTTGAATAAACGAGCTTCTTGTTATACTTATAATCCGTAGATCTCAAGGCATAACTTATATGCCTACCATACTTGGTTAAGGAGCTATTGATAAGCGAATTAAGTTCTTATTCTTATCGCACACGCACTTGACTTTGTGGCAATGACTTTTTCTCTAAAACTTGTGCCTGGAGCTTTAATCCTTTTATCCAGTCTTAGCTCCTCATCTAACCTTTGGGTCATATTAGACCGGATCGTGGCGCTTCTTTTGATGATTCCCAACTCATCATTAATGGTGTGAATATGACGCGATGCATAGTGGGAGTGGCTAGGGTAGGCATGACATAACTATGTGACGTTTCGAGGGAAAGATATAGGTAGCGAATCCTATGTTGATTTATGTCCTTTTTATCCTTATAATGCGAGAAATCAAATTCCGAATTGGTGGGATTTGTCTCTTGCTTAGCAGGATCGTCCTCTTCAGAGGACTCTGAAGGGTCCGCGGAGGGCTCTTATGATGATTCAGCTGGCTCTATAGTTGTTTATGTCTTCTTCAGAGGACTCTGAAGGGTCCTCAGAGGGCTCTTATGATGATTCAGCTGTCTCTCTAGTTGTTTATGAGGAATTGTTCTTTTTGTGGGGTTCCTTACCGGGGTCAAGGAACATAGAGGTATGGGAATCTCAGGAAAAATGGGTATCATTGGTCTAAAGAGGGGATGACATAACTTGATCTTTCTCTGGCAATGGTCTCGTTACCATGTTTCCAAGATCTACCATTATCGTGTGATGATCGTACTATCTTTCCTAGATAGTAATGGTCTGAATCGTTGGGTTCTAAATTCTATGAGATTCTCAAGAGTTTAGTTTATCAACTGCCATATCCAAGATTGGTTATATGTAGGTCTAGTCTTAATTAAGCACATGTGTACATGATATGCCTAGGTCTAGTCGTTATATATATATATATATATATATATATATATATATATATATATATATATATATATATATATATATATATATATATAGGTGTATTCTCATCGAGGGACTGAGTCTATATATAACTCAATATCTGAGGTTTGTTTGTGTGTTTTATTAATTATTGTTTTGTACTTCAATACTATCAAGTAAGGATTGACTAAATGAGAAGTGGACATGACCATTTTAGCATACAACCGTTTTGAAATCTAGCAACCCAAGGCGACAGTTCCAGCCTAGACACCTCTCCTGTAAGTAGACTATCAGTAGGGTAATTAACAATAATACTTTTAATTGTATGTTTGAGGACAAACCTAATCGGAGTATAAGCCCCTAGGCTATAGCTGTAATTCCTAAGGAAGTACTAGTTCGCTATAGCCAATAGCTCTGATACCAATCTGTCACATCCTCGGCCGGCGACGGAAACGTCGGGATATGCAATGTAGGCATATTGAATAGTAAAAAACAATATAAAACATAAATGTCACTTTATTGATAGATATTGCATCAAATTACTATAAATTCTAACACATCGGACTATTATAAATTCTAATACAAAAGGTGTCTTAACGGGTAGGAATAATTATAACGATAATAAGTCTTCGGTAGATTCGTCGATTAATTGCTGCTTTCGGAGGTGCAATCTTCCATCTCTCGGTTTCCTAGGAATACATGTTGTTTTGAAAACGTCAACCTAATGTTGGTGAGTTCACAGGTTTGAGTGTTATATCATTGAAAATATCTTTTAAGTGTAACTTTATTAAGTTATAAAAGTATTTTGATTTACATTGTTAATGGATCTCCTAACACCATTTTACTATTTCTAGATACTAAACTTTCGATGACTTACTTTTTATCACATACTATCATTCTCTTTAGGTTTTCCCCTATCAAATGGAGTATAATAAAATCTTATCTGTAATATTATTATTTCATAGAAACATACTGTTTATGCTTTATATTCCATAAGTACGCTCTTGGATGCTTCTATTTTTAGAGTAATTACACTTCTTATCCCAAAAGTATGCTTGTGTAAAGCAATACTTCTATTTAGAGTGATTATATTTTTATTCAGAAGTATTCCCCTTGGATACTTCTATTATTATACTTTTATCCTAGAGATATGCTTGTGTAAAGCAATACTTCTAATCTTAGAGTGAGAGGGATCTTTCCTATGTAAGATGAAGTTCAGAATACCATCTAATGTTAGTCTACATAACAGTTTTGCTTTATTAATTAATTTACTATTTAATTTTATCAAAAATATATTCTTAATAAAGTCAAATTGGTGGAATGGCGAGATAATGCCTAACCAATATACGCAAGGAGTGACGATTTAATATAAATTCCTTTGATATAATTTATTTTTATAATTATCCCTATATATACTTAACCTTATATATAATAATTATCTTTGATAGGTTATGGTACAATTAAGTACATTATCTATCCTTACGTTTCCTTTTGATATAGTTTTATTCCATAATTATTCTGACACGTGTGTGTGTCTGTATATATATATATATATATATATATATATATATATATATATACACACACACACACACGTACACACACACACACATACATACCATATCTATAATTATTAGATTCTTGACATTTTTAGGATATTAGGGCATAGTAAAAACTAAGTACAATGCTTATACTAAGG